AAATCCAGAAATATATCTACCTAGGCCAAATCCTGAGACTTGACACAAGAGAAACAAAGTGCAGAAATTACTAGAAGAGCAAGACTAGCTTGAGCAGAATTTGGAAAACTTAGTTGGATACTTAAGAACCGCAAAATACTTGAGGAGCAAAGTGTTCAACCAATGCATCCTTCCTATCATGACATATGGATGTCAAATCTGGACCCTAACCAAAGCAAACATGAATAAACTAGCCACAACAGAAAGAACCATGGAAAGAGCAATGTGAGGTATACGACTGTCAGATAAAAAGAGGAACGACTGGGTAAGATTTAAAATAAAAGTCGAGGACATAACAACAAAAATTGCCAAACTTAAATGGAGCTTCGCGGGCCACACTGTTAGACAAAAAGACCAACGTTGGAATACTACAACATTGGAGATCTTACGAAAGTAAATGACCAAGAGGAAGATCACAGATGAGATGAGCTGATGACATTAAAAGAATAGCCGGAACAAATTGGTGATATGTTGCTCAGGATAGAGACCGATGGAAGGAGTTGGGAGAGGCACATGTCCAAACATGAACGATAGAAGGCTAAGAAGAAGAAGAAGAAGACGTGAAATCTAGAATGCATTGATAAATATATGATTTGTTTATAGCAAGATATGTTACACATTTACTTTCAAAAAATCAGTTGTATTTAGATAAATTTGTTAGAAAGTAAAAGTATTTATAAAATTAATTAGACATGCCTGTAGCATTACAGAAGATATGCAACCTAAAAGGCCCAAGTATAGAAGGTAGAATTGAAATTGGTTTGATCGTGGAAGAACATTAGAAAACACATAGAAAGGCAGCTAATATTTTTAATAATAGATATCCCAATAAAAATATAAATCATTCTACTGTGTACCTGACTGTACCATGCCAAAGATCATTAGTTGTCGAGGCATTAACTCAATAATAATAAAAATTTTTTTTTCTTATTTAAAGGTTACACTGAAAATTGTGAATCTAATTCAGTGCAACAGTGGGTCAAGTCCAACTTTTTTTTTCAAACAAGAATGTTTTATTAACCATTGCTAAATTTATGTTTAATTAAATAAAACAAATAAACAACATTAAAAAAATATCAGGATTACAATAAAAAAAACTTATACTAGAATTTACTATATGTAAGAATTAAAAACACTTATTTTCTCACAGTGTCTAAAACTGGGCTTAGACCATTTTTTTTTGACACACCCATATATTTCTTTTATCGGTAATTTTTATTCTGTTTACATAACGCTATTTAGCAGTATGTTTGGTCTATTTCGTCATTTTATTTCAGCTAGTTCTGTGAATTTTTTACGAAAAAATTTAAGTTGTTAATATTTTTGTCTTTCAAATTCTTTAAACGTAGCATCCATTAATTGTTTGAACCTTTGCCAGACAATAATTTTGGAATTACAAAAAATCTTCCCATTAAATGAAACTCTTTGATTTCTTTGATACAGATACATCTAACCACATTGGCTGCTATTTGAGATCAGTTATAAACACGTTCCATTTATGTTGACTCTAAATAAATAAAACAAAAAATAAATATATTTCACGAAAAATATTTATTTATAAGTACCAGCACCATTACAAAACGTAACAAAAGAGTATATTCACATTCAAACTCAATATATATTGATACAAAAGATAATTGTATTGATTCTATACATCGTAATACAATAAATAAAGTTACTCTAATAATAATAAAAAGAAAAAATACAATTAAAAAGCAGCCCTATGCTAAATCTAAATACATCCAATATATTGGGTGATTCTAGTAAATTAATGGTGTATACAGTGATATAAAAAGATAAATATACACAAGGTATGCCAAGTCGAGGAAAATAAAAATAGAAAAATACGATAAAAATATACTATTCCCTCACTCAGGATACCCTCCTCTCATGAGACCGTACAGAGTTTACTGTAAAGATAAACTTGGATTTTTGATGTGGTATTGATGTGAAGTGATGAACTGCGTTGTAAAAATAATAATATATATACAAATTTAAATAAATTAAACCAATAAAAAATACTTTTTGTTAGATCAATTGATCAATAATAGATTGTATTAAAATAGCTACCTGTTATAAAATGAATTTACACAAACTGTATATATAAAGTTTTAATGATCAAGTTGTGAGTTAGACTTTCATTTAATATGAACAGTGCTATATTTGCTTATACAACAACATTATAGTTACATTGAAAGTACATATTGTTAAAATGTGTTACATGTGTTTTATAAAATCTTAAATTATTCCAGCATACGGTATATGATTAAAAAATAATAATAACTGAATCTTGAGCTCATGCAATCTAGTGGGTAAGCATCGGAGCTAGCTCTAGGTAGTACGTTCATATGAATTGATTATAATAAGGATTAGCTATATGCCCAGTCAGGCTATTCAGTTGAACGTGGCATACCCTGTATATTATACATTCAACTAGGTATATAAAATATTAAATAATTAACAGTGAATAAATTATTTTTATTAAAATTTTACATGCAAAACTAATATACTTGACTGTAGGTATTTTCAATACCAAATTCATTAAATAAATTACTATCTAAGCTGAAGACTCTGTATATTATATGTGTACAGTACCATTAAGTACACCTAGTATAGTGTGTACTAATATTTTGATAACGATCTTCATAAGCTATATTGTTACATATTTATTTAATAATTTAAAAACAGACATTAGTAGAGAGAGAAATATCTGCTTTAACAAGTTTTTTGCAAATATAATAATTACCTGATGTCTATAAAAGTATCTGTCTATAAAACATATCGAAAGCTGTGTGAATATATATTAGGAAATTCTGAAAGTGAAAAAATTGTACAGGCTACAGAGTATACAAGTCCACAGAATAAATAACAATCAGAATGCCCACTCTCAGATGCCGCCTTTGAAGTCTGTCAGCACGCGATCGCCATATTTTAAACGGAAACATAGACTCGGATTGAGAAATTTGTGATAAGCTACGACAGAACTGTAATTTAAATTTTTTGGGATTAATAATTTAATAAATTTGAAATAATTTTTCTATGCACACCAGATAAAATTTCACTGAACAGCACTGGTTCTGTTTAAAACATGGCTGATTCTTCTGCGCAAACGAGATGCGTGTAATTATCTTGACAAGCAGAGTGGGCACTCTGATTGTTTATTATTCAGTGACAAGTCCATGAAGGTAATGAGAGGAAAAGTGGTGACAAGTAGAAAAGAAATTTTCCAGCCTAGGAAGTCTACGTTTTGCGAACGACACAGCTCTTCTTGCCATCAGCTAAGAAGACCTGATTGATCTGATGCGGCTAGATGAAAATGAGAGTTACAGGTTTGGTTTGGAGTTAATTAAAGACAAAGATTATGATGGATAGGCAACACAACAATCATCTACATACAATTAAAATTGACCGGTTTGGTGTGTTTTTGGACTTTTGTATCTGAGATTATTGATCACAACCACATAAACACTTCAGGAGATAAAACGTATATTTGATCTCGACAAGGTCGCTATAGAGACCGATAACTAAAATGTTTTGCTTGAGAAGAATGTTAACATAGAATAAATAATTCTATTATAAAATAACTAAATAAGATCAACAAGAAACTCGCCGGCAAAATTTAACTGCAACAATTAAAATATTTTGGAAATGGCGTGAGATCTGACTTGGACAATATGGAGAGACTCATCATTCAAGGGAAGGTAGAAGACCGAAGAATACCAGAAATATCTACAACAAGACGGATTGACCAGATTACAGGAAGTTGCAGAAGACGTAGGCACAATATAATAGAAATGACCACAGAAAGAAGTCTGTAAATCCTCCCCATACACGATATCACGAATACTTTTAGGGGGTGAAAAGTGAAGAGTGTTACAATATTTTTCACAAGTATTCACAATATTTTTCACAAGTTAATAATGGCTATACTTTTAGTCACATCTTAAAAGGTCACATTTAGAGGTATTTTGCTTCGCCTGCGAATGTGATTGCCGTGTTAAAATTATTTAAAATATTCCCTTAAAAAAATTAAGTTGTTTTATGTAACATGGTATATGAAACCAATTATTGCATCTATCGTATTCACATTTTAGTTTTGTAATAAAAATATCTTGATTAAGCCCCCACTTAGATAAACTTTTTGTGTTTAATTCTGTTTTAATTTTGTTTAGAAAATAATTCGTAGAAAAAATATAGAACACAATTGATGTTTCGTTGTTTAGCAGACGCATAAGATTTCGCAAAACATATGATTGAGCGCCAATTGAGAGATTTTTTTAGAAAACTCAATAAAAAATAATAGTGTAAAAAATATATTTGTGTAAGGACGCTGATGGTATAGTTCAGAATTGTTCGACGCCACTGCAAACGCAACAACCAGAAATATCGAACATAATAAAAATGAGAATCAAGATTAAAAAAAACATGAAAGTATATAGGTATATAGGGTTAGGCCTCCTTAAATTTTACGAGGAGTTTTTGGCAGTAGTTACGATAGTTACGTTTTAGAAAATGATTTCAGTGACGAAAACATGTACATTTTTGTATAAGGAAGAAGTTAATAAAGTTAAGTATTTTGTATTTAGAAGAACTACCTATTTATTCGCGCAGTGACTTTTCTGGGAGCAATGTTTAGAAAAATTTTTAAAATAAAGAAATAAAATGTGATCATATTGAGATAATTTGGGATCACTATATTAGAGTTGCTTTGAACATAGATATCCGAAATATTAGTAAGCCGAATCAACTAATATATATGTTTAAAGCACATGAAAGCATCTTTTATGTGTAAAGCTGTAATAGTGTACACATTTAAAAAAAATTAAATTCTCTATGCATACTTGCTAATGAATCAAACTTAATGACTCATTTATATATTTTAAAACAGACTTTACAGAAATACGACATTAAAACTATGATTATTCTTTTGTTGGGACTTAATGTGTTGGTGAAGATGCAGTTCAGTTGGAATTTAGAATCAAATCGTAGTCTGGCATACCTGCTCGGTATGACTGTAAATATTTTATGTGGTAATCTGAGTGTAGTAGGCTTTTCTTAACGGTAGTTTCTTCAGTCATTTGGTTGCGCCATTCCATCTGAAAAAAAGAAGATATATAGATATTTTCGATATTTAAACAATGCTTAGTTGGTGTAAAATTGACAAAAATGAAAATAATCAATGTAGAAAGGCACCAAAATCTTAACAACATACAACTTTACCGAACTTATGAAATCCCGGCAGAACACAGCAGCATGGGGTAGAGCACCTAGCCAAGCAGTCCGCAGTATTATATCACGAGTATGGGAATAAGAGCCAATGTCTGAAGAATGGAACATCGGTTCGATATGCTCACTATACAAGAAAGGCGACCAACTTGAATGTGTAAATTCACAGGGATACCATTTTTGAATACAGTCTATAAGGTAGACTTTAACATAATTTACACACATCTGAGCCCATGCTCGGAGAAAAATCTCGGCAGAAATTAAAGTGGAATGAGATCTGGACGGGTAACAGTGGACCAGATTCTCGTATTAAGGCAGATGCTTGAAAAACCTATACATTTTAATATCTCGACACCTTTAATCTGTTTGTAAATTTCAAAGCAGCAAGTGATAGCGTTGTACGAAGCAAGGTATATGACACAATACAACACTTCGTAATTCCTGGCAAACTGATAAAATTTGTAAGGACGACATGTCAAAAGTCACATGTAGAATTAAAATCCAAAGTAGCGATTCTGAAAAATTAAGTAAAAATACAGGATAATATAGACATATGCCCTGGCACGCCTCCTTTTTAATATTGCCCTCGAAAAAGTTCTAAAGGATGTTCTAAAATCTACCCAAATATTAACATACGCAGATGATGTGGATCTTGTCGCATGTACGACTCATAAATCAAGAGAACTATGCGCTGCACTTTCTAAAGTGCAGACTTTCTAAAGACATTAACATAGAATAACAAGAAAGACAAATTATAATGATATTTAGAACCTTAATATTTCTTGTTCCAATTTACAGTTGTGTGACATAGGTGTTTTCTAACACAGATGAAAATAGGCTATTAATATTCGAAAGGAAAGTCCTTAGGAACATACTAGGTCCAAAAAACTGAAAATGAGACCTAGTATCGTCGATATAACTTTAAACTATACAATAAGTATACCTAAAGAATTAACCGAAGCTAGAGATATAGTAACTGCACTAAAACTTAGATGCCTGCGGTGGGCAGGATATCTAGCCAGAATAAATGAAAGCTACCCTGTACGACGTATTTTATTGGCGAATCCCGAGGAAACTAGACGAATAGATAGGCAAGGTTGAGATAGAGGGATATTGTAGATAAGGATGCCAGGGAGATTGGTATTGTCAACTGGCATTAAGTTGCACAAAATAGGACCGAATGGAGAAATCAGCTTAGGAAGGTCGAGGCTTAACTCGGGCCATAGCACCTCGTTCTCCTTCTCCCTCCATCCAGTTTTTTGATGGTTCCACTACTACGGTAGTAGTAGTGATCGTGAAGTGAATAGTGAACAGTGCAGTAGTATCTGGGGGCTCGGGAGACTGAGACCTCGGAAGCCCTGAGGAAGGCATCAAAGAGGATGCCGAAAGCTTGGCAAAATGGATTACGACGCGGTTCAACCCGGAAGACTGGTGAGTTTAATATTAATTTAGTAATAATATTAATCTTAGCTCTAAGTTATATATATATATATATATATATATATATATATATATATATATATATATATATATATATACTTAGGACACGAAATTGAAATAAAAAATCTTAACCCAAAGGCTGATTAAGTAGACAATGTTCCTTAGCATGGCATAATTTTTGGAAGATTACAAACGATATATAAATCAAACTTACCAAACACTTTAAAGGCAAAAACTTTCGATCAGTACGTATTACCCGTTCTGACATATGGAACTAAGATATGGGCTTTTAATAAAAACATAGTCCACAAACTTCAAGTAACTCAGAGAGCTATGGAATGGAAAAGGCTCAACATTAACCTCGGCGATTGCACATCCAATTAGGAAATAAGAAGATTGCTTTTTGTTAAAATTCAATCCAAAAGATTGCCATGAAACTGGGCGAGATATATAGGAATAATGAAAGACAATCGTTAGACGAAGCGAATTGTTGCGAAGTAGAGGCAAACCTCAAACCACATGGACTGATGACATCAAGCGAATGGCTGGTCACGAATGGATGCAAAAAACAACATACAGAAATAATTGGGACACATCTAAAAGAGGCTTACATCCGATGATGGATGGAATAGCTTTTGATGATAATTTTAAGTTCAAAGCAGTCTGGCTCTTACTCGATTTTCGTCATTATTCATGACATGTTTCTAACGCATAGGCGAGAATGGGTATACTAAGCTGATGATTATTCATAGAGAAAACTAAAAAACTAGACTTTCCAGATCGTAGAGAGAGAGAGAGAGAGAGAGAGAGAGAGAGAGAGAGAGAGAGAGAGAGAGAGAGAGAACTATAACGACTTTATCAGTCAGCATTGAATCCCTAGTCTAAATCCATGTTTTAGTTCTTGTTTTGTTAAAATACTGGTATGAGACGACAGGAAAAAACAATGTAAACTCGTCTAGTTCAGAATGCGATCAACATTTCGTAGAAACAAAATAATTATAGGGAATTGTCAAGATGAGATACCAAGGAATGTGCATGTGTGATTTCAAGAGGAGATCGGCCTAATATGTTAGCCGCATACTCTAGTATATTTTATTTTAAGTGTATGTGTTTTGTCCTACATAGGTTATACAAAAATACGTAACTTACCAATTTCTTGTATTTATCTCTTCTTAGAAGATGCTGATTGCCGAAAACTTTTAAGATTTCCGCTCGTTCGCACCATGGCCAAATCATATAGTCCAACATACCAGGTTTGGTGCCACCGAAGAATGGAGTACCTCTTTCTCTTAGTTCCTTTTCGAAAGTGGAAAGCCCTGTTGATATCACTTCGTCGTCGTTGACGTTCATTCTTCCAATATTAACCATTATTCGGTACATTGTGTTAATCACCTACGACCAATAGTTAATTGAATAATGGTAACCTTTAAAAAGTGTGTAAATCAGTTAAATATGTTAAATGCAGTAAATGTGGATTTGTGTACTTCATTTTTGCAATACATTTGTTTATTATCCATTTTTTAAGCAGTAATTGGAGAATATAAGGTACATATTGATTTACAATTATTTTGTCATCTGCTTAAATATATTTCTCTGCGATGGAATGCAATAAAACAAGCCATAACTGAAACCAGCAAAAAAAAATCGAAAGCAAACTAAAGAAAATAATGGATAACAGACAGAATCTCGGATCTTATGTAACAAAGCAGATTTAAAAACCCAGAAACATATTTTCAACAGCAAAGGGAAATTAGAAACAAGAGCAGACAAACAAAATAAGAGTCGTTGTCTACTCAGTGTAGAAAAATAGAAAATCTAAAAACAATTCATTGAATATCAACAACAACAACGTGAACAATTTCAACGTGAAATAAGTTGCCGAATTACGCAAAATAAGTATTCAGAGTTATTGAACCAATAAGAGAAAGTTATTTTAGGAAAAAGTCGTTTCGGGTTACGTAAAATAATAAGTCTTTGGGGTTTTTAAATCACTAAGGGAAAGTTCCAGAATATTCCACCAATCCGTCCTATTTCTAGCAATTCTTCTCCATACATTAACTTCAATGGATTTTCAGTCGTCTTTTAAGTTGTTTCTAAGTTTCGGCCTACCTCTAGTACGTCGTTCCACTGGCCCTCTTCGGTCAAATACTTTTCTCACCGTTGCTTCTTTCTCCTTTCTCATTTCATGCCCAATTTATCTGACACGTGCTACCTTAATTAATTTCACGTCAGCTTCCCTGAAGCTGCTATATAACTCAAATTTAAAGCGTCTACGCCAGAAACTCTGCTCTTGTAGTTATCTGTATGTTCTTTGAACATTTTGCTAGGAACACTTAGGTCATTTATAAAAATCCACTAGGAAACTAAGTTCCTGTAGCTGGCTGTATACCATATATCACAAAAAATTTATTTCAAATCCTTTATAAAAGGTATATAATAAAATGCCCAAACGTTCTATCACAATTACATTACAAAACGTTTTCGGATTGTTAAATCCATCATCAGTGTAAACGAGGTATACATGCTATGAGCCACCAACATATATGGGTCAAAACCTTTTAAATGTTATAAATTTACAGTTGTTTTACAATATATATGGTTACAGATTAGGATGTTTAAGTTACCGTTGGAATTGGTAACATGGCGACGTATGACCCTACATAGGTAAAATGGTCCTGAGACAAAGTGTCTTCGAGGACCTTCGAGGATCTTCGAGTTGTTATCAACAGGTACTCCTCAGGTCACAAGCGACGGAAAGAGCGTGTACGGAGCCTGGTCTCTCTCCCACAAGGCAACAGGCTTTTTCCCGTTACCGACACGTCGTCTGTTCCCAGTACCGCAGTACCAGTAATCGACGCAGTTTAACCCGGAAGACTGTTGAGTTCAATATTAATTCCTGTAATAGTATTAATCTTAGCTCTAGGCTTAATATTTATATACATAATACATACACAAAATAACAAGAAATTAGTAAATAGAAGTGACGAAAAAGAATCTTTTGTCATTTTCAATTCCTTGTCAATTAAATCAAATTATTTCTACATAACTATGCATAGTACAGTTCCATTTTATATATTAATGTCTAAGACTGGAAGATTTAATATCGAATAAGATTACAATATTGTTAGGTAAAGTTTACAAAATTTATGCAGAAATAATTCAACGTTGTTAGAAACTACATATTTAGATCAGCAATGTTAAAAGTCTCCATTATGATTGCCAAATACGGGACGATAAGGGGACACCTGCAAGAAGGATAATTACATTTCCTGAATTTTCAACCTTGATGTTTTACACGTACATTATAATAATGTCCAAACACTATGTAAACATGTTTATAAATATATGTATATTTTTGTTGTATGTAAACACTTAAGACCAAGTGTTACCACATACACAGAAGCATAATGACGGATGATTCTATAAATTAATTTATTATCCTAACATCAATGACTTTCGTCATAAGTGGGTTATGTAAAAATTTTAACATTAAACATTACACAATTGATTGCTTCAGTATTTATCACACGATGTAACGACAGAAGGAAGACTGAAAATAAATATTTCGAATTAAAACTCAAATGGAAAAGGTGACACAATGAACAATGAAATAAAGCGGGGTCCTAAAAATATACAATTTATGTTGTAAGTACAACATTGTACGTACAATATTTTATTCACATCACAATTTTTCAAATATGAAATTAAAATACGAGGGCCTGATGAACAATTCCAAACAAAACTAACCCGAATTCTTCATTCAACTGAAGTTTTACAAGGTATTCAAAATATTATTTATAGGGTATCTTCGAAATGTGTGCAGTGTCTAGGTTTATTAACTTTGTACAAAATTATTTAACATATGTTCAAACTAATATGTATCTGATCAAATTCACCGTATTAACTATAGAAGCAAGTGTGCCAATGTAATAAAATAGTAAATTCATGTATAATAGAGATATCTAGAGGCAAAGTGGAGAACCCTCACATTATCCCCGTAGATACTGAAATGAAGAAGAATGCACAATAGTTTATGCATGCAAAATCACTGGCATAAATGTCACCCACTAATAACTTATTAGTTTTAGTACATAAGCAAAAACCACAAACAAGTTGATTTTTAAAATAAATATAATATACTATGGCATTAAAGTTTCGAAATTTGGAAGTTACTTCTAATGGCACAACTTCGATTTTACGAAGTGAGAAAGTAGTACATCATGTGATACAATTTTTAGTGAATGATAATAATAATAATCGCAAACAGCGCTTTCATAATCGTCACAAATTACATACATACTCATATTACTTTAGTCTATTAAACATCTTACCCTATTAAATTGTTCAATAAGAATTCTATCTTTGGCCTTTTGTAAGGGATCCTTGGGGTAGAGATGGTGTTGGTGATACCTCTCTTCAAGATAATCTACTATTATCAAACTTTCCCAGATAAACTCTCCATTTTCTACTTCTAATGCAGGTACTTTACCGCCGGTACTCTGTCAAACAGCCAGTCTGGTTTATTGGATAGATTTATATTTACCACTTCATATCTAAAAATAACGATAACGGTTTTAAAATTAAAATCTTGGTTGTTAGAATAAAAGGATTTCATTTAAACGAGTAGTGGGTCATGTGGAGAATTATTTCCACACTCTATATAGTGATCCACACACAGACGAGATTGTAGAAACGGAAAACCAAAATGAGTGAATTAGGGACTAAGAGACTCAAAACTAGACGATACTAAGAGAGAAAATAGAAATAACAATAGATATATAATAAATTATATTATAAATAAATTAATAAATTGAATACAAACTCTAAACAAAGGTGCCAGAACATTGGAAACAAAGTTCTGGCACCACATTAGAGAGACATATAGTCTCAGAAAAAGAGCGTGGAGAGACCACATTGATAGAATGTGTGATAATATACTTACAAAGAAAGAGAAACCGTACACCAACATCGGAATACCAACTACGCTGTAAGTTTGAAAAAAAAAGAAGATAGTCTTAAAATAAAAAGAAGAAGAAAACTTTTATAGCGAAAACTTAATTATCAAAAATATAACTGTTCAAAATGTTTTTTATTTTGCTTTAAGCAATAATAAAGTCTGTTACCGAACTCCTCTATAACATTTTGGAAAACTTTAGATAAAATTGAAAGGCACGTAATTATCGATGGTCATCAATATGGGGTTGTGTTTCATAAAAAACATATTTAACATGCTCCCAAAAAAGAAGTCTAACGGATTTAACTTCGGTGATCTAGGAGGCTATTTAATTAATTCCCTTCTACCAATTCATCTTGCGGAAATCTCTCTTTTAACCACTGTCTATAATAGATTGGAGTACCTTTCTAAAAATGACCAAATAACCATCTGGGGAATTTGATTTTCTAGCTTGATAATTATATAGATATTCAGGGATTCTACAGTATTCACTGCTTTCCCTCGCTCAACCGTTTCCATCTCTCTCTGTTGTCCCTTTCTCCATCGCTTAGGCCTCTCTTACTCATGGCGTAGTCTACTTCGTTCCTCCAGGATCTTCGGGGTCGTCCTCTTTCCTCCTTCCTATGGGGCTCCATTCGGAGGACCAAGTAACGTAAGATAGAAGTACTCATAAAGTTCTTTCACTCAAGAAAGGCTCATTGGGTATTTCCAAGAATACCAACACACATTAACGGTTTGTGAACAATGTCTATGCTGGTCTCAAAAAAATTTGCATGTTTTGTCACTTCAATAGCGAAAATTTTATGAAATTAAAAATATGAAGATTCATTGCTTCTATATTCTTCTATATTCGACTAAATATTGTGGATGGCGTTGATTTCATTAGATACGACTTCACAAAACTATATACTTTTATCAAAATCATCGTCATAGACCTCTTGAAGTATCTGCATTTTATAGGAACGAAATTTATGCATTTTTAGTGCGTTTCTTGACACATTTAACACTAAAGTTTTATTGGCACGGTTTAATGACACTTTAATTTCAGAGGAGTAAAATTAGACAATTGTGACGTTTTTACTACCCAAGTTTACTACCTAATGTCGCTCCTTATTATAGAACTAACAATAATTCTGCGTGTTTTCTTCACAGGACATAAACACAACCTGTTAATCTTAACTAAAATGATTCACAATCTACAAAACACATTCTACCGCTTGGAAATTTGAATCATTTCCAAGAAAGGTAAGAGCTTATAAATTGACCTTCTCCTTTTTGGAAATTGTAAATATTTTGTACCTGTAGAGATTCTCTTCTCTTCTTTTCTTTGTCAACCATTTTCCATCCACTCCTGAATGTAGGTCACTCCCAATTTCTTCCATCTTTCTCTATCTTGCGCCAATCTAATCCACTGTTGCCTGCCACT